CCCCCCCGTGGTCGTGCCTGAATTATGACTTTTATATGACTATCCGATATATACTGACGTCTTCTTATTGCTTGTATAGGGTCGTACTGCACGCTCGAATAAAGATTGTCAAGGCATATAATTTACATGATCGTGGTAACGACGATGAAGCTATGAAAGAGGTAGACGAGGCCGAAATGATGCTTAGCCTTGGAGAATGCCATGAGGATCTGGCTGAAATCAACTCCGCGAAAGCGAATATCATCCTATCGTCAGGGAAAAACAGCGCAAATGACCGCAAACGTGTTTTAGATCACTTGGATAAATGTATCCATCTCTGTGAAAAGGCCACTGTTGATAAAAACATAACGGTTGTGCAAGCCAAACTGCGCAAGGCACTTTTTCATCTCGGCTATTACCAACATGGTATCTTAGAAGAAGCACCGAAGTTCTCAGATGTGAACATAGCAGAGACTATTTTGAGCCGTGTTGCCAAGCAGTCTGATCTGACAGAAAGACACAAAGTCTACTTGATGTATGGTCAATCGTTGCTCGCCTATCGGAAGGGAGAAACAAACATGGCAACCAAATTAGAGAACAAGCTACGACGAAAATGTGAAGACCATAAAATACGTTATGAGATCGAACAGCTCGATATGTTGCGAACTTTGGTACGAGGTTGACCAATAGAAATATTGTCCCGGAGACAAATGTTAATATCATAATATGTGTCTTGTAGTGGTAAAAAAGAAAGTAATCGCCACATTGAAGACATAAGTAATATTCATGACCTGAAGCCTGTAAAATTGCTTCACAAAGTCACAACTTCTAAGTAAAGACATTGTGATATTTTCCGAGAATCAATCGCCAACTGAAAGACATGCTGTTCGCTTCTAATTATAACAGTACAAACAATAGCTTCTGTAGCTTCTATATGATGATAAAATGGCAAAATAATAGTTTTAAAATCTGTTGGGATTCTAGATGGTAAAATAGTAGTTGTAAATCTGTTGGGATTCTAAAAATATAGCACATGTAATAATATCTTTCAATTGATCCCAGAAATCCTTACATCTTGTCACTGTCGGACAATGGGTATTTGGCCTACATCAGTGTATCCCACATTGCATTGCGTATACCTAATAATGATGTTTTGACGGTTGAAAATTGCGTGACGTAAGCATATTATATTCACGTTAATCTAGCTTAATATCTATATGATGATTCATGAGATAATTTTATTCTGTTTAATTAAAATAACAAAGAAATGCAGCGAAGCAGTAAACTGCGTGCAACGTAAGCTTCGACAAAACTCACAAGCATTAGACTTTAAAATAGTCTTTGTGCTTTGGTTTCGAACCCCAAAAGATCATGAAATCGACGTTTTCTTTCTTCCTTTTCCTTAGAAGGTGAGAGTCAGGCTTTATCTTTTGCATGGAAGGTGAGAGTCAGGCTTTTCCCTAAACTAATAGTAGAGAAAAAAAAGATTTAAAAACTATTGTGCTTTGCTTTCGAACCCCAAAGGTCATGCATGAAATCGATGTTTTGTCGGACTTTATCAACGAATTAAATACCTATTGCAAATTATAAAATGTTCTGCTTGCTTGCGTCTTTTCATTAATAACCATTCTCGTACCCAGACCCCTTCTTACGCGCGGTGCGACGAGGGGCTCTGGTCAAATCCATAACCGGATACCATAAAAACATGGTAAGAAAACAATGTCCAGTGTTAGAACTAGCCAATCAGATGCCAGTTCGGAATATGGATTTGGCCAGAGCCCCTCGTCGCACCGCGCGTAAGAAGGGCTCTGGGTACGAGAATGATTAATAACTTCTTATTAATTAAATATTTCTAGTTGATAAAGATATTGGACCGAGGTCTTTTTTGTATAGACCGAGCCCGTAGGGCGAGGTTTGTACAAAAAGACCGAGGTCCGAATATTTCTCTTTAAATACCGAGCAAGCGAGATTGATAAGAAGTTTATTATGTGGCAGTTGTCAGGTGAGACAAACAAGTGCATGATTTGAAATGCATATATTAGTAGCGTGGTACCCATTGGGTCGAAGAAAACAAAAAATACCAATGTATTCCTCTTTTCTACTAAAAACCATTCGCAGACATCAGCTAGGGGCGTAGGAACCGGGGGGGGGGCCAGGGGGGCCATGGCCCCCCAAGTTTTGGCAAGTGCTCTTTTTCCGGAAGCAAAGTGCCCTTTTTGTGCGTGAAAATTTTTCATTAAAATTGTATTTTTAGCCCAAGGTGCACTTTTGAAAACTTCAATGTACGTTATTTCCTGAAAAATGTTAAAAATTGCGGAAAAAATCATATATCCGGAAAACTGTGTTTGTATTCCGGAAAAATTTTTTAGTAGTTACGAAAAAAAATTTGTTTATCCTGAAAATATTTTTGGGATATGTACGGAAAAAATTTTTTGGACCCCTAAAATGGTACACTGACCGAATTTTTTTTGAAAAAATTTGGAGATGCCCTTTTTTTTCGAAAAGTGCCTCTCAAAGCCTGCCCCCCCCCCCCGGAAGGTTTCTACGCCCCTGGCAGATCTTTATTAACCATCTTCGGTGGTGCACTATGCAATTGTCAGGGCAAGTGCCTTTCACCTCTGACTGATCTGGCTACGGACTCATGTGAAAAGAGTCTGTCAATGCTCTACCGAAAGTCGTGGGTTTTCTCCGGGCGCTCCCGTTTCCTCCCACAGGATCCGGAGAAGATGACAGGTTGGGTTAGGATAAACACAGTTAAAAAAGTAATCACAATTGTTGTAAAGATTAATAGTTTAGGCTAAGTAAGTAACATAAGTAAGCGTAATACTTGATGTAAGCGGCCACTGAAAAACCCGAATGGGGAATGAGCTGAATAATAATGTAATGTCAACCTCGTACCCAGGGCATTTTGCTTATGATCAGCGAAAATGGCCCTGGCATCGGCCGGTCACATGATCTCAAAATCTCCAGTATTTGGGATGTTCATTTATGATAATTTATGCGTATAAGTACGTATATAGAATAATTATACATATTGTAATTACTGACAGGAGTAAACAAACTCAATGCTGCGTATATAATCAAAGAGAAAGCAACAAAATTAGTTGAATTTATTCGGTTTTCGTTGTTCACACTTCATTCAGCAACATAACCCGTAATATTGATGACTTTTAAACATAACCTAATAAGTAACTAAACAAAACAAGGTTTGGTTTATATAAATCGT